CATTCCTCAGTCTGTTCCCCCACCCACTGCTTCCTGGGGTCCCCATGTAGCCCAGGGAAAGGGGCTAGCCCCTCAGCCCTGGGGGGCTAGGGGCCACACTGGGCACGTGGACAGGGGCAGCCTTACTTGCGGGTGATGAATCCGTGAAACCAGTGGGGCAGGGCTCCATTCTGCAAAATGAGGGGGGCCTGCGTCTCCGTGAACCACATCAGGGCCAGCTCCTGCAGCTTAGCCAGGGCCTGGCTGTCCCCGGCCCCCTCGGGCCCCCTGACCAGGCTGAGCTGCCTCAGGTGGCCCTCCATTCTAGCGAGCACTGATGTGGAAGCAGAGCCGAGACCACCTGTACGCCTCTATATCTGTGGGCACCCCGGCTCATTTGCCTGAGTCCATGCCCTCTCCAACCACCCGCAGCACACAGGAGCCCTACTGTCACCTCTGACAATATGCGGCTGGTTCTCCTCTCTGATGCTCTGAGGCGGGGCACCTTGGCTGTCTGGGGACATTGGGGGAGGGTCACATTAGCAGTCAGAGAGGGACAGGAGAGGGATCCCTGACTTCCTGGTAGCAGATGAGCTGCCCCACTGGGTTTGGCCCCTTCGCCCAACCTCCGGTCTTTGTGTCGGCTAAAGACCAGACTCTGGCTAAAGTCCAGGCACTGCCAGTGTTAGCAAAGTGGTGAATTTAAATTCTACTTATCCTTCCTTCATGGCGGCCACTTGTATCTTAGTGAATTTCTGTGCTGATTAATTCCTCTTTCCACTCAAGATTTGTTGTCTACTGTGTGCCACGTACATCTGGGCCCTGGGAAAAAAAGCAGCAACCAAAACAGCATTTTGCCTCGTGGCACATATGTTCTAGTGGAAGGAGACAGATAATAAACAAACACATATATAGAATATGGGGTCAAGTGTAATAAGCACTCCAAGAAAAAGGGAGCAGAAGAAGAGAGCACAGATTGTGTTATTTAGATAGGGGGTCAGGTAGGGAGTCAGCGTTGGGGGAAGCCTTGCCCAGGAGGTGCCACTGGAGCAGTGAAAGAGAATGCCAGGCAGGTACCTGGGGGAAGAGATGCTGCTCGCAGCAGTGGGGAGAGCAAGTACAAAGACTATGAGGTGGGACTCTGCTGGGGATCCTGAAAAGCAACCCAGAAGCTCATGTGGCTGGAGGAAGAGCCCTTTGGAGTAGATGGGTCCCCTAGAAGGGCTGCCATAAGACTTTTGAGAGGAAGCACTGCACCAGTGAGGGCCCAGGATATTTGTTCACACAAACATCCCTGAATCTCTAACGTGTTCCCGAGTTTCACAGCAGAAATCCAGGCTCGGTTGACAGTGAGGCAGGGGATGTTGCAAACAGTCAACCCCAAGGATCTGGGTTAGAGTTCCGCTTCCATCACACTGACACAGGCCTCAAGGCAGTTTCTAAGTGGTTGCAGATAGCTCCATTTCTTCATCTGTAGAATGGGAATAATTTTTAAAAAGCTACTTTCTAGACTCTAGGGTCATTATGACAAGTAAATGAGATAGCATGATGGTTAAGAATGAGGGAACATATATATATAAATTCAAAAACAGGCAGAACTGACCAATACCAATAGCAGTTAGGATAGTGTTTAACTTGAGGAGTGTATGACGACCAGGAAAGGGTGAGGAGCTGCTAGGTGCTGATCATGTTCTATTTCCTGATCTGGGTGGTGTGTTAGATGAGTGTGTTCACTTTGTGAAAATTCACTGAGCTCTGTGCTCATGATCTATGCATTTTTCTATGTATATGTTCTACTTCAACAAAACAGCTCATTTGTAAAAAATGAGGGGCTTCCCTGGTGGCGCAGTGGTTGAGAGTCCGCCTGCCGATGCAGGGGACGCAGGTTCGTGCCCCGGTCCGGGAGGATCCCACATGCCGCGGAACGGCTGGGCCCGTGAGCCATAGCCGCTAAGCCTGCGCGTCCAGAGCCTGTGCTCCACAACGGGAGATGCCACAACAGTGAGACGCCCGCGTACCGCAAAAAAAAAAAAAAAAAAAAAAATACCAATGGCAAGTGTGTGATACATATGATTTAGAGGAAAGGTCAGGGCATGAGGCATACCTGCAACCTCAGCCTGGACAGCTCATTCCCTGTCTTTGAGACTCATTTTCCACCTCTGTAAAAAGGGTTGCAGGGCATCCACTTGCCTCACCTGTCGATGGAGTGAAATACTGCAGGTCATGCTCTTCACACAGGGACAGGCCCACGGGGACATAGCAAGTGTTCCCGAGGGTCAGCTACCGGGAACATCACTTTTATAAACAATTTCCAGCCTTGACAGAGAGGAATCAACTCCAGCCAGGGGACGCTGAGAGGGATTCACATACTTGCGAAATGGTCTTCCTGTCACGGATGTAAGCCAGGGATATACTGGGGTCATAATGGAAATCCCTGGGCCAAACTAGAAAGGACTGGAATTTCCTGATATGGGGTGGGGGAGGCGTAGGAGTGGATTACATCTTTATCTTCCCCAATCTCTAACTGAAATTCAGCATTTCCTTCCATGGCGAGTGCAGAGAACAAATCTTATTAGTGTTCGTAACACCTGTGACTTTGTCACCAAAGGAAATCACAGATATTTTCATATCACATTACAGCTGCGGCAGACATCCTGAGATATTGATTTTGCTCATTACCCCAAAATTATAATAATTAGACCCAAAGCTGGATCTTGATATTTAACATGCTAATAAAGAAGCACATCACATTACTACATCACAGATATTTAGATAACCTTATTTCAATATGATTGATTTCCACTGTAATTCTATGTATTTTATTTCGTGCATTTAAAAATATTATTCTGAGAAAAAGTTCATGAGCTTTACCAGATACCAAAGAGGTCCATGGCCCAAAAAAGGCCATGGAAGCTGGGGTCTGACCCAGAGTTGGTTTGCTGCCAACATGAGGTCTTGGAGGTATTCAAATACAGAAACGTGTTTCTATAATTTTCCTCGAGGTGTTCTCTCTCCACCTCCCTTTTAGGTGGGGCACTTTTATGAGCAGAACCTGGCCATTTGCATAAGAAGACAAAGGCTTTGTGTACTGGAAGGGGGAGCCCAGGGTGGCTGCAGGACAGATGTGAAGATTCCAAGGTCAGGCAAATAAAGGAGAGTCTATTTTTATACTCAGAGGAAATGGGGGTGAGGAGGGGTTGAAGCCAGGTTTGCAGGCATCAAGAGAACTCTGTGAAAGACTGGGGATGGGTTTTCTCTGACAGTGTTCCACATCCCACTGTTCAGTTCATCACCTGTGCTCACCTACTAAGGGCTGGGTCTTGGGACATAGAGAGGACCCTGGAGCAGCCCCATCCTCCTTCTCCAACCCTGAGTGCCCAGAGGTGTCCAGAGAGGAGCTAAGAGGTTTCAGGCTCTGCAGTCAGACTAAGTGACTTAAGAGTCCTGGTTCCCCCTTTGCTGGCTTTGTGAGTTTGGAGGAGGTGCTTCACTTTGCTGTGTCTCAGTTTCTCATCTATAAAAATGAAAGGGAGAAAAAGTACACACCTGGTAGGGTTTGGGGATCCAGTGAGCTGATCCGATGCAAGGGAGTGGTGGGGAGGCATGGTGCACATGCAATAAACATCAGCCCCAGCTCCAAGTCAACCCCCCTGCTGGGAAGTCCCCAGAATTCTAAGTTTCTGTCTGTCTCATCGAAATTTCCTTGTCCTAGGTTCTCCATCAAGGTCATGCTTCTCCTGTAGGACCACTAGATGGTAATGGATTATCCATTAAATTACTGTCTCCCGAGGATGCTCAGTCTGGCAAGGCTTCTCAGGAGGACAGCGCTCAGATTTCTCCAGAAAGACGCTCAGGGTCAGTGTCTTTCCAGCTGTTTTGATGGAAACCCACTGAGTATGGCCAGAACCCCAGCACCAACGCTGCCACTCCTTCTTTCTTGAGCCTGTGCAGTGGGAACATAGTACATGGCCAAGTGCTGCTGGCAGCCAGCCTCCTGGGTAGAATGCCAAAGTGGGCTTTTCAGTAAATTCTAGTCATGTGTTCATTTTAGTTTATGAACACTGCATTTTCGTGCCCCTTAGTTAAGCTATTCCATTAGAATTTGTTCCACAATAGTAGTGAGTGGAGAATGAATGATCCTATTTCTTTTTTCTCAGATTGTCTGCCTTATTCTCCACTGTATTCTGTCCCTAGAATAGTGCTTGGCACAGTTAGATGCTCAATAGGTATATTTTATTTTATTTTATTTTATTTTTTTGATGTGGACCGTTTTTTGTTAGTCTTTATTGAATTTGTTACAATATTGCTTCTGTTTTATGTTTTGGTTTTTTGGTCGTGAGGCATGTGGGATCTTAGCTCCCCGACCAGGGATCGAACCGGTACCCCCTGCACTGGAAGGTGGAGTTCTAACCACTGGACCACCAGGGAAGTCCTGGTATATTTTAAATTATCATTCAAATTCGTGATACATCCACATGGTTTTTAAAAATAAAAAGTGTAAAAAAGTATAAGTAAAAATGTTCTCCTTCTAGGCATTAACCCCCATCTACCCAGTTCCATCTCTTTCCCACAAGGAACTGCTGTTATTCATTTCTTGAATGTTCTTCCTGGGTTTCTTTATGCATATTCAAGTAAATATGTATATTCTTATTTTCCTCCCTTTGTTATATAAGGGTAGAATCCTATGCAGTGTTCTGCACCTTGCTTTGTAAAACTATTTAGTAATATATCTTAGAGTTCCTTTCATAAAAGTACATAGAGGGATGTCATTCTTTTTGTTACAGCTGCATGACTGCATCATAATTTTTGTAACCGGTCCCCTACTGATGATCATTTGGGTTGTTTCCAGTGTTTTTATATTTCCAACAATGCAGCAGTGGATGACCTTATACAGATTTGATTAAACATAAGAGTGAGTACATCCATGGAACACATTCCCAGAAGAGAGATTGCTCAGTCAAAAGGGTATTTGCATCTGTCATTTTGATAGATGTTGCCAAATTGCCTTCTTTAGGGGTTGTAGTCATTTACGCTCAGGAAATATTGAATGAATGAATAGACGAATAAATAATATATCCAAGCTCAGACATTTGGGGGCCCCCAGCTTGCAAGAAAAACTGGGAGGGGGCTGATACTGACTCAGAGAGGTCACCAATTTTACTGTGACTCTTTCGGCCCCTTGATGTCACTGAGCAAGCTCACCTTTTCACCTATAGATCATGGCTGTTGGGGTAGGAGGGCAGTACCCAGAGATGCTCCCTACAGATGTCTTCCCACCAAACAGGCAGCTCTGTTTCATTCACAGGGCAATGGCCAGGTACTG